CCTTTCGTGCGTTTTGCTGGTTTTCATTGTATTAGGCCAAAGTTAAAGAGAAATTGTATTTAAAATAAGGTCCTTGATGTTTCCATACTGCTTTGCCATTATATTATTTTATATAATATTATATTAATCATAATCATTTTTCTAAAATACGTCATTTTCATTTTGATGCTGCTTTATGGTATTGGCACTTTGTTGATATTATCTGATTATTTTTATATGTTTTTGTATACTGATGAACATTCAACTAAATTATATATATATATAATTCTAATTTTAATTTATATTTTAATAATTATATTAACTATTCATTCACACGAAGTTTCGCGAGGAATTTATGGGCCCATGTCATTGCGAAAATGAAGAATGTAATGAACTTCGCGCACGCACTGTTCGCGGTAAAAAAGAGGGATTATTGGTGACGGAAGATGAGCGTGTAATTAAAACGTAATTACGAGACGCAAAGCCTTGCTTAAAATGTTATTTGTCCGGCTAATGGACGGGCGTGGCTTGTCCGCTATCGCGGAATTTTAAAGACTGATTACGTTTAAAACGTGGGCCACACTTGCGAATAAAGCGTAATTTTATTCATAAAAATTCGCGTATTCATCCTGCCTGGAGTAATGAATAATAATAAGGAAATGATTGTTTGCTCGGTCACCGTGTCTAATGTCTCCTGTGATTATTTTTAACACTTCCAATAAATGCATAAATATCCGCAATGTTCCCAGCCGTTCGTCGTCAAACTAAAATGCACACACCCAACTGTATTCACAACGGAATGATCTACACAATTTCCTAGATGATTTACGTAAACGTAATGTAGGTTACACGTAGTTGCCGCGACACTCGGTGGCAGACAATGATCTATAAATCGATCGAGTACTCCAACGCCCCTCGCCGTCATTAAGAGCCATAACTCTTTCCCCTTTCCGTATATTTGACATTCAATTAAGGCGTAGCCAGCCAACACGCGCCGTTCGCGACGAAATTTCCACGCGGTGCCACCCGGTACGTCCATGATTGTCGTCACGCGCGTCGAATTTCCATAATCGTCGTACGGTTGTTTCAATGGTCCGAAATTATGCTGGTGTAATCCCCTCGCTGGATGCGTCGATGATTACTTAATCGAATTGTTCGCACCGCCATCACGGTGCTCGCGCGACCAAACGTCTCTTTCGAGCGGAGATACCTCGTAAATGTATACAGGGAAGATTACAGTGTTCTAGCTTGATTACACGTCTGGACAGCGTGTAATCAAGCTTTTCTATTGTAGCTTCGTGATAAAAGGACGCTCTTCGGGTACGTCAACATTGAAATGTAGAATGTTGGAGACTGGTCTGAGAGAAGTCGAGTTTTGGTAAAAAGATGATCGGTGATGATGTAGTCAAGATTGAAATGTAAATGTTGTAAATGTTGGAGACGGGTCTGACAGAAGTCTACTTTTGCTAAAAAGGTAATGATATAGCGATGATATAATTAAAATCGAAATGTTCATATTGAAGACTGTTCTGACAGACGTCGACTTTTGCTAAAAACCTGACAAAGTGATCATTTAATTAAAATCGAAATGTTCATATTGAAGACTGTTCTGACAGACATCGACTTTTGCTAAAAACCTGACAAAGTGATCATTTAATTAAAATCGAAATGTTCATATTGAAGACTGATCTGACAGACGTCGACTTTTGCTAAAAACCTGACAAAGTGATCATTTAATTAAAATCGAAATGTTCATATTGAAGACTGTTCTGACAGACGTCGACTTTTGCTAAAAACCTGACAAAGTGATCATTTAATTAAAATTGAAATGTACATATTGCAGACTGATCTGACAGAAGTCGATTCTTGCTAAAAACCTGATCAGTGATAATATAATTAAAATTCCAACATGGAACCACTTTGTTTCAACGTTTGCTCTTGGTAACAACTTTCCCAGCTTCCATATATAAAAACTCTTGATCGCAGCATCTATAGCCTTCCAGGTTATGGAAAATGAAAGACGTCAAATCACGTCATCATCTGCGAATGAATAGGAAGGCTTGACTAAACTTTCTATGCAAACATTGTCAACATTGGAAAATTAAGTCTGGACCGAGTCCAACTATTAAATTTGCAGATTCAGGTGAGGAAACTAAGTCACCCAAGCTATCGGCAGCTACCTCTCTCCAGGAAAAGGATTTTGATTCCTTCGAGTCCATTCGGGGGCTATTGTAGCTAATAGAGTCGGACGAATTTACGAGTGAACGGCACACCCAACGGTATAGCTGTAAACGTTAGCTTAATATTGACAATACTAGGTGGACTTCGTTAGGAAGAAAGTTTCTACACTCTTCCTAACGACCGGTTGAACGAATTTGATTAATTGCTCGAGCACATCGTCCTGAACGGGATTTAAACATGCTCCCGGTTGGAATTGCATACGTCGGACACGATAGAATTTAGCTAAATCGGTTGGTGGCACTGTCACTCGAATCGACTGTCATTCGCAGTGACCTCGTTAATCGTATACGCAACGTGGACGTGGAGAACGTTCACATTTCCAGAGTGTAAGTGCCAAACGAGCTAAAGGAGTGAAATGTTCAGTATCTCTTATTCAAGTTCTCTTATTCAAAGTTTGATGATTTCGAGATTCGGTAACAGAGTTCTTTGGTCAAGTAAAATTTCGTATAAAAATTAACGAAGATTCCTTTTATTTTCTATTCCTGCATAACTCCAACAATTTAAAGTTGCCCTTTGCCGGAATTAATCAAGTGTTATATTCTATGGTGTCCAGGTTTTGCCAGGCGAACGGGTAACGATGTCACTGTTTGTTGAAAAAGGATCCTCTCCGCGTCTGTTCGCGCTCGAAAAACCAACAAAAACGAAACCGCGGCCGCGTAAACCTGGTAAAAGCTGCGCTAAACGCGTGACGGCTTGATAATTGCACACTGGCTGTGGGGGCTCGGGTGGCCCCCACGGGACTCCGTTTTACATGGTGCCGCATAATTACTATGATCCTGCGCTTCACGGTGCTCCAGTTCTCCAGCGAGGGAGAGACAGGCGGATCCACGTGACCCACGCCAAGAAACGAGCGGTTCTCGCTCAAAAAGCGCCGCCGCGAAAGAAAACCTGCAATCAACGCGTCAAAAAGCAGAACTTTCACCCGCCGCTCGCCATGTACGTATTGTTGCCCCAACGTTTGCTCGTTCGGCTTCGACGAACCGGTGCTCGTATCTGGAACAATGTCGACTACGTTTCTTTCATCCACCAAGCTCGAATCACACTTTTTTTCCCCTGGTGAACACGTATTTTCACTAATATTGGCGAATGTGGTGGAAACAGTGGTCATTTCACTTGGGAGTTACAATACAGCCAATCACCATAAATATTCGTACTCTGTATAAGAAGTTTGAATAAATTAAATAATTGTTTTGGTATTACCAAATGAATTTTTCATTTTAAATATGCATACGAATAAGCTTATACATATTTATACAAACATATATTACATATAGGTCTACCAGAAAGTTCTGTCCGTTTTTAGAGTAACACAAGATAATAAATCTCTGATACCTTGAATAAATTTTATTGAATAATATAATTTTTATCATTGTTTATGACATCTTGCCAGCATGATTGCAATTTGTATATCGTTTTTAAGAACAGACAGAACTTTCCAGTTGACCTAATATTTAGATAAATCAAACCTAGCATTTAACTTGAACAAATTTCTCCCATAAGAAGGTACGAATATTTATGTTTCTGACTGTATACCCAATTAATTAAACCAAAAGAATTTAGTTTCGTTTCTCGAACAGTTTTCATTTCTCGCAACGCAGTCTTAGATTCTTATCCGGATAACTAAGCCTTCCTTGTACTATTAACGTAATACCATAAGTGCAAACCGATCCGGATAAATTAACGTCGAACAAAAAGCCTGGCTTGTTTGCAACGTAAACTCCATCAAGCAGCCGAAGCCAGACTACACAAAGATTCCAGTCGCTTTCGCCTGATCCTCGTCCGTTGAAGGCTGATATTTCGAACCGAAAGCTTCAATAAATGTTCTCGAATCTGAAGTTCCAATGTAGTTGGAACTTTGCTCACGAAGAGCGCACGCAAAATGTCGGACGCTGAGTTTGCATGAAACTTTGGAGCGAACGAAATTAAGGAAGACCCAGTTCTTTTTGTCTGGAGGGGTTCGAGTTTAAGGGATGAAACTACCTTCTGAAGTTTCGAAACGTAGTAGCTCACGGATGCTATCTAGAATATTACTGGATATACGAAGAAACTTCTCGGGTATGTACTCTCCATGGTTAAAGCGCTTGAATTAACTTGACGTATGCTGGAGGAGAGATTCAACGCGTTCTGAGCTATGTACTTCTTGGTTTGTTTAATACTACTGTTTCATATATATTTCTTAAATACAGTCAGTCCTAAATTAAATGGTGAGCTTAATATTTCCAAATAAATGTTTCGTTAGAAATATGAATAAACTTGTATGTATATATTTACAATGAAAAATTGATATGGAAGCATCGAACCTATATGGACAAACTTCAATGAATATAGAGAATATGAATATTAACGAGACTGACTGTATGTTTTTTATTTGTGTTAACTTTATGTTTCAACATTTTTTCCTGCACAATTTTCAACTTCCCTAATAGGAATCCCCCCTCAAAGTAGGTCCACTCAATAAACCATTCTCTCCCCTAAACTTTGCATCTAAATCAGCCCGTCCTTCCTCAATCTTCCAGATACGTCCAACTTCCCGAGAACTTTACCATGCTCCGCAACTACTATACAATTTATACCTCCATGGAAACACGTGAGAGTTACTCCAACCTGTCTCGCGGTTCATAATTACGAAATTCAACGAAAAAATCAAGCAGCCCTTTTCCCAAGGATCCTAGGCAAGCAGTCGAGAGGCGAGCAACCGAGAGGCGAGAGTTTTGCCAGCTTGTTCGCTGTTCCGGCTGCTCCTATCGCCGTAATTAACGCGATAACGATGACGTTATTACCCAAGAGCGTTCCCATTGCCCGTCGACTCCTGCAACGCGCGAATCACTGGCCACGATCGCGTCCGGCTATTTCCAAGCGCGGCCGAGTCGCGGCTGGTCGTCCCGTTACTCGCGGATGCACTGGTTGCATCGGACCCAGCTCGCTAGAGATGCACCCGTGCATGCATTTATGCATATGTCCGGCAGTTCCTCGCATGGATGCAGATGCGGCACGCACGCCAGCCGTTGGGCCGCCGCCGTAATCCTTTCCCGACACTCGTAATGGCCGGAATTGTGAATTCAATTGCCTCTGAATTGGATGCAGTCGCGAAAGGGGCACGTACGCGTATGCAACCCGTGAAAGGCAGTCGCGATCCCCCGTGCATCCGTCAGCCAGCGAACGGACAAAGGAGAGCTGCACGGTGATTGCCGTTCGGAGTGGAAAGATCCTCCCGAGGAGGTGACGACACGTTGCTGCACTCGAGCACACTCCGATTTTTATGCAGGGAAATTCGAGGGGGTTCAGTGGGGTTACAGCAAATCAACCAGGAGATATGTTTCTTCAGGTTTCATTTCTTTGGAACTCGAAGTGTCGATAGAATGATTGTCGAAGAGGTAAGGATGACGTGATTCTCAAACCTCGAATTAGAGATCCCATTTTCTAAATCAATGTAAGCTTAGCATTCGTGGCAATAGAATGCCTGAGAAAGGATCTCGAGATGCTGGTAGACATCAGGAAAGAATTCTTCGAGTGCAAAGGGTTAAAGTTGCGAGTCCTTTAGGATCGATTGAAGTGGATTGAGGCTTTGCTGTTGGTGCTTTGATTGGAGATGTATTACTTCCTTGAGTAACGAGAAATTGTTTAATATGAGATCTTAGCAGTCTTGATGTAGTATGTGTGTCTTCACTCAAAATTAAAAGTACCAGAAATATTCCATCAATCGAGCCCACTTCAACTCGCATTTGGATGCTGGGAAATTCAAAGGGGTTAAAGTTGGAAGTCCTTTGAGATTGATTGAGGTGGGTAAAGACTTTGTTGAGGAACCTGTGCTTTGATTGAGGATGTATTAGTTCCTCGAGTAGCGAGAAATTTTTAATATGAGATCTTAGTAGATGAGAAATTTGTTAGAAGAGTGCTTCAAGCCGAGATGCTTTGAAGGCTTGTCATAGTATGTGTCCCTTCCTACAAAATTAAAAATACCAGAAATATTTTACACTAAAGGTGTTCCATTAAAAATCCAAACCTTCTTCTGGAGGCCCTTCGTTATTACCCAGCTCTTAAACACCACTCCCTTAACAAGTAAGTTCACTTCTCCTGTACGATATTAATTTCATCGTCGCAGGCGTAAAAGTTTCCATTAACTTTTAATAGAAATTGTTAGAGAGTACGAAGAAGCATTTGGCTCCAATTAAACTGGGATTAAAGAGAAGCGTGTTGAGAGCCGCTGACTCCTACGTGTATCCTTACTTCGTGGCTGGAGGATCTTGAGAGGCGCCACGGGGATGTCGCCGAGTTGTCCTCTCGTCTTTCAACCACTCCCATTTTCAGCTACCGAGTTACTGCCACTCTGTCAATCCCGCCTGACGTTGGCGTCTAAACGAAGATACACACCCGACGATGAATAACCCTTCGAGAGCGTTCGCGTTGTCACCGAGAGGAAAAGTTGCATCGTTTGTGTCCCACGATATTGCGGCCGCGATCAGCCTTGGAAATTAGTTCTATGAATTCGTTGAATATATTTCCAAGAATTCATTTCCTTTGCTGCTGTTTTATTGGCGCTTCGGCGACCGAAGCTTGGCCCCGACTCCTCGCCGATGGAATTTATTAATAAACTTCTGTCGGTAACTTGTTACCATTTGTATTGCAATTTCAATTCTTGTATTCGTCTAAATTACATGAAGGGAACTCTTGTTGAGAAGTGTGATAAAGTCTGATTCAAATTTTAGTGA